AATTGAAAAATACCTTAAAAAGCATTTCAAATGCTGAGCCAAAACCAGCCGACCCCGAGAAACTTAAACTCGAAAAATCAATCATTAGGTTAGAGAAAGAAATAAAAAAAGGTAAGGAGGAAATGATGAAAAGGAAATTGAGCGAAGAAGAAATTTCAGAACTATATAAAAAAAGTCGCTCTCTGCAAAATAAAAGTTTAGAATGAGTTAAAAAATGAGGAAAAAAAGAAAACGCACTCGCTCTCTTGTTTTGCGGCGAGGAGTTTAATGAGCAATTAATGAGGGAGAAAAAAAGCGGTAATGATAGTTGAAAAGCAGTAAAGGATTATAATATTATCGATTTTGGGCAGGCGGAGAATAATAAACTTCACGCTTTCAAAAAAAAAATCCAAGAAATCTGTAAAAAAACGGAAAATTTATTCGGAAGAGAATTTCGTGGAGACTCGCCAATTGTTTGGCTGAAAAATATTGATAAGATTACTGATTCAGAACTAAAAAAGGAACTTTTAAAAGTGGTTGACCCAAGTCAAAATACTAACTTAGGAAAATTAGAAAAGCCGATTGATTTATCCCAATTTACTCTGGTGGCTACCACTTCCAAAAACTCGCCCCAAACTGTCGAATGAATTAAGAATAAATTAAGGCATATTGAGCCATTTTTAGAAAAACATAAGTGAGTTATTTTTTTCTCCTCAATCGGGGTAGAAGTTGTTATCTTTGGGTTGTTAATAAGAAGCCGCAGAAAGAGCAAAAATAAATCACTCAAACATTTAGAAGATTAATTTTTTTGTTTTCTTATGAAAAAACTTTTGGCTTTTCTAAATCTTTTGGTGCCTTGTGGAGGACTCGAACCTCCAACCCCCTGATTAAGAGTCAGGTGCTCTAACCATTGAGCTAACAAGGCTAAAGTGAACATTTATAATTTATTTTACATCCATTTTTCCTAAATTATGAAGAAAACATTTATCTTTAAGTATGACCTGCATTTCTCTCCGAAGCAAATGTTTAGGGAATTCAAGGAGGTCATTAACGACCAAAAATATATTCAGCCGGAAAATGTGATGATGGTAAACGATTTAGCGGTTATTCATCGGATAATTAGCAAAGTCCATTTAAAGGTGTTTACCTGCCTTAAAAAGAATACCAACCAGATAATATTCACCAGTCAGCCCAGTTATTACATCGCGATTATACAAATGTCTGACGGGATTGCTAAGTGCTTTGCTAATTGTGGGATTATTGAATTAAAAGAACGAGGTAAGGAAACCCGACCTATTGCTCTTTACGAGCAAATTGTTTTGGATTTTCCAGTTAATAAGGAAGTAGCGGCAAAAAGAAAGGATGCTAGTTTGTCAGTTCGGATTAATCAAAGAGGTTTATTTTATAATTTTCTTTTTTGGCGGTTGCTAATTATCCCTTGGCTGATTAGATAGGGAATGAGATTATTAATTAACATTTTTTTTCTTTTTAGTTCATCAAAATAAAA